GGGGCAGGCGGGAATCGAACTCATGCGGAAGCGGCTTTAGATTCTCAGTGCTGTGCTTTAACCCGCTGCGCCACCAGGGAGGGCCCACATTTTATATTTTTAACATTAATTCTAACGAAATAGTTTCCTCTCAAAAACAGAACAAGGAAATGTCAAGACCCATTTTGGCCAACCAAAGTGTTGGTGCCTCATCACAACACTCTACCCATACTGTAGGTTATAGAGTGGACAACTGACAGGCTTGGAACAAAACAAAACTCAAAACAAAAGACTAAAAATAAGATCTGACGAGGAGTTTTCTTACTGACCAGGCTTCCCTTCCCACGATGTCCTTATTAACACTACTTTCTTCATCCCTCACCCAGGGTTTCTATCAGCAAGAACTTCTTGGCAGGTAACACTCACAGTCCACCCACAAAGGAAACTGAAAGAGCCAAAGGCAACAACCAGCAATCTGAGAATTATAAGGTTGTTATCTACCACAGAGCCAATAAAAATTTCCTGCTACCAACAATAAAAGAAAGTCCCATTAGATCCATTTAAGTCACCAACTAATTACAGTGCGCTCTTTTTATACAAACACTATCACTAAATGTACCTATCTATTTAACCCAGAAGGTTTAAAGGTTGACAACAAATTTCCCAGTTTCGTATATTTCTATAAAAATCTCACTTCACAAAAACTTTAGTAGTAGTTAGTAGTTGTGACTTGCCAAACATTTTACTACTGGCTCCTTAGTGTCTTAGAAAATGCTATTATAAAGATGAATAAACAAACAAGTTACCCCAAATAAGGGAGGGATAGATTTCAGAAATTATGTAAGTAGCACTTGTATACCATTTTGTATTTTTTAATTGCCTTCTTACACACATTCCTCCTTTTGATCTGTACTGTTACACTATGAGATAAGTAGAATGGAATACCTATGTTTTATATTTAAGGAAGTTCCCAGTTCAAGTATCCAAGGTCACCCAAGGGGAGTATGATAAAAAACAACCCTTGAAATACAAGGTTTCTGTTTCTATCATTATACCACTCTGATACCGTATGAACTTAGAGTTAGGCATCTGAAATCCATTTTGCCACAAAAGTGACATTATATATGGTCATTTGGAATCTAGACTAATCCACACAGACTTAGAAAGCCTGAGCTATCAAAAAGTGGTATAATGCTATGTGAAAATGGATATTTGTGGATTAGCTTGGTAAGAAATACACTATATACTGTTATTTGAAAACATAAAGCAGACAAACATCTAGCAAGGTTCACATAGAAGAAAAGAAAGAAAACTCTAATATGTAGAATCAGAATCAAAAAAGAAGTTGTAACAGACATCTCAACAATACAGAGGATCATAAGAGACTACTATGAGCATGTATCTATTACGAATAAATTGAATAATCTAAAAGAAATGGACAAATTGTTAGAAGTATATAACCTTACAAGACAGAATCAGGAAAAAACAGAAAACCTGACCAGATCAATTACAAATAAGGAAATTGAAACTGTCATGAACGTTCCCAAAAAGTAAAAGCCTAGTACCAGACAGTTTCATGAGTGATTTCTGCCAAACCTTCAAAGATGAATGAATGTCTATCCTTCTCAAACTCTTTTAAAAGAGTGAGGATGACAAAATGTTTCCAAGTATATTGTATGAGGTCAACAACATCAATACAGTTTTACAATCACATGAAATTCAGGTTTATATCATGTATGTAGTCCAGCAGTATTCAGTGAAGTAAACACCTGTACTCCATAGTCTGTAGCTGGAGCTCCCACAGACTGAATGGATCTAACAAATGGATATTTAATTAAAGGTTTACCTCAATTTAATACTAGCCTGTTAAGCTCCATGAGAACAGGGGTAATGTCTGTCTTGTTCACTGGTGAGACTCCCTTTCTTTGCCTAACAAAATGCTGGCTGATATCAAAAGGCCAGGAAGATTTCTGAGATGAGTGATGCCTAGTGCTAACATTACTAGTGTCTCCAGACTAACAAAAGAGGAAGGTTGTGTGAATCATAGTTATTTGGTCCAATATTTTTTGAAGAGCTTCTAACCTACAGAATAATCTGGCACCAAATTTTATGAGAAATATCCTAAACTAGCTAGGATAATTGTGACAACAGAATACCAAAATATAACTATTAACAACCAAAGCTAAAAACATGACAAGTATTTAAGGTTCAGTAATCTACATAACGCTAAATTATATATATGCATGTTAATATATAGCATTAACTTCAATATTCATTGCATTTAAATACATACTTACTTCATGAAATACTTACTTCCACGTTCATCTTTAAAATCGGTAGTCGTAAATGTCAAATCCACCGGAGACTCCATAGAGTCAGCTTCAAATTCTTCTGATATTTCCTTATTTCTTGATGTATTTTCACATTCATTGCAATTTATTCCTCCTTAACACATGATAAACAAAGTATTACTTTTTTTTTTTTAGATTTATTTATTTATTCATACAGAACTGGAGTACAGGTCAGAGATACGAAGGGTGAGAGGATTCACCAGAACCAGAGTGGGAAGCAGAACAAGCAGATCGACAAAATACACTGCTGAGGGGAGCAGCGGACGGGTCAGGAGAGGTCTGCCACACCATGTGGATCTCCTCCAGGGCAGGTGGGAAGTGGCTTACGCTTCTTAGTGCTGTGTTTAACCTGCTGCGCCACCAGGGAGGGCCCTATTTTTTAACTCATATATTAAGCTAAAATAACTCAACTGATTTTAATAGAAATTAACATGTCCAAAAATTCTTGTATTCAAATATTTTATAAAGTTACTTATATCTTTACATCATACTCTACATTTATATATGTATATAAATATATATCTGGGCCCTCCCTGGTGGCGCAGCGGGTTAAAGCACAGCACTGAGAAGCTAAAGCCACTTCCGCATGAGTTCGATTCCCGCC